TCTCGGTCCAGAACTGAGACAGTTGGTCATTGTCTCAGTCCAGAACTGAGACGGGTCCCCAACTGAGGTACAACATTCATACACATAATTAAAAAGGTCAAATCATGTATCTTTATTATTTTTTGTAAAACAAATATATTGAGAGTAAGAGGCCGGCTAAGTAAAAATGAGAAAGAAGCAGGATTTAAAGGGAGGGAAAAGCCTCTTCGTGTAACTTTATCCTGTCATTTATTTTACTCAAAATTGAAAAACAAAATGAAGCTGTGATAAATATTCTAAGGATCAACTAGGATTAAATTCCATTCATTATTATCACTTCCATATGCACCGATTGTACTATCACTAATGAGACTGTCATCGGAAGAAGTCGCATCTTTGGAATCGTTTACAGTAGTAAAAGTTGCAAATGTATTGTCAAGCGCAACTGTGAATTTTTGTTTTTTCGCTGTCGGTTCGTAATCTTCCAAGGAGAAATTGGTTGAGTTCGGATTGTATGTAACGGCAAGAAAAGTAGCACCTCCACCTTGGCTTAGGTTAACGATGGAGACTTGATCAGTATTAGGTTTTGGCTTTAACACCCAAATCTGATGGTCGTTATTTTTATTCCTTGCTTCAAGTGAAATTATCGTTTTGCCACCTGTTACCGTTGGTGTCCAATATAAAAGCGAAGATTTTTTTGCTTGAATAAGCAGTGGTTTTCCTACGAAGGCCCTAAAAAAATTATAATAAAATAGTTGAGTGTAAAGATTAGTGATAAACAACAATTAGGAGAAAGGATATTTTCTTAACAACATTTCGATAAAAAATCGCGGGAACTAAGTTTTTTTAATTCAGAAGCAGGCCTTTAAATAATGATTGTCATCCTCTTTATTTAATAAATGAAAGCGCGTTTTGCCAAGAGATTTTTTATTATCGATACGCTCACAATAAAACTCACATGAAGGAGCTTTTCTGCATTTCATTTGCATATCGGCACGGAAAATTCGGTTTATCTGCATGCTAGAAACCAGTTTATAATGAGCAATTTGTCCAATTAAGTCTCGGAATTGACTTATGCCCTCAAAAAAAACTGCGCTGCGTAACTCATCTGGAAAAATGCAAAGTGAAAATTTTTTTATCAATGAAGTCAGATATGCAGTACATATGAATAATACTCAAAATGATACCTAATATGGAAACTCATTCACAAATATATCTTTGATCTCGTGCATAAACCCCAACATTTGATGAAATCGGTCTTACCAGTCCGCGCTCCGAAAATTATAAACCGGTTCCGAGAGTTATGAGTTGGATTCATCACGGTATTTGTTAACCAAAAGCAAAATTATCTGTCGTTTTAGTATTACTCGTGATAAATTTTAAATTCTCGAAGTTTGCAAGCAATTAGAAAAGAATGGATTGCGCGCATCTTGATTTCAACCCTCCCCAAATTTTGGTGATATCTCACATAAAGCCTTTGTGCATGAGAAGTTTTACTTGATGCATCTAAACCAAATCAGTTTGTGTATGCCTGACATGTGCATTCTTTGTGGTGAGAAAATTTGTCGCGGCTGATGCTGAAATCTGGTTGGTTGAAGTTGAAACTAACCAATGGGGTTAGACAATAGAACCTGAAAGATCATGGTTTCAGCTTCAGCCGGATTTCAGCATAAGCTCCCACAATTATTATGCAGATGTGAGACAAATGCATTTACTAATATGGAAACTCATTTATAAATGTATCTTTTGATCTCAACTTTTCGAAGAGTGCATAAACCCCAACATTTTATGACAAATCGCTCCAGATACTTTACAGAAACTTGCATTTTTTAAAAATGTCCCTGGCGAGATTTGCAGGACACTGTGTTGATAACCACGTGACATTTATCAAAAAATATCGCAAACACCTCGTCGTGATGTCACCAACAAATTGCTAATTTCGACCAGTATCTTGACGACCTCATCACGAGATTCTGCTAGATAGTTCAACTTCGTAACTTCCATTAAAATTTACCCCAAATCTTGTGGACACATTCTCACGATACACTGAAATTAGAATCCTCATTACGTACGTGATGCCTGTAACATTTCTTTGAAAATCCTGACGACATTGTTTCACATTATACAGACGTCGCAGCATTATATACAAAAGTTCCTCACAGTATATTGCGAGTCTTTTGGGTTGTCAAGAAAAGCAAGTTAATACTGTATAAATAAATAACATCGACGCCACGTCTAGCTCTAGTTTCAACCAAAAGCTATTACAAGCCAACGTCAACAAGACATTAATAGATGCAGGACATCTGTTCAATTAATTGCTGAACATTTTCACTGATAAGAAAACGTGGAATCGAAAGAGAAAACCTCTTAGTATACCACTGCCATTAATATTAAGTATCGTTTATTTAATCATTACTTAAAATTTTGTCATCAATCAGGCCCTCGGTTATCTTGTCTTCTCTTAATTCTTTATTTGAGGGTGGAGTATCTTAACCCCTGTAATAAAGTGTCACGCTAATGTCCACAGATCTAACACGTCAGTCTTCGCAAGGCTAGTTTACCTAATAATAGTAATTGTAATAGCAACATTGGAATACTAATACGTCTACATTCTTTATGCTTAGTATTAAATATTAATATAACCGAACACACCTTTTGATCGTTCATGCTGTGTCCATATATTATTGAAAGTCAAAGACGTTCCCTCCGTGGCTGTGCCTCCGACACTTTTTTACTCGAAACACTAATAATAGGAAGTCGTGAAATCTAGCAATCTTAATGTCAGGCATGTTATACCATACTAATTACCAACTGAATTTATCAGTGTTATAATATGGTATGTATAATCGCATCTATATAATGCCCGCTGCGATACCTTAGCATGTGCCTAGATAGTCGAATAGACAAGCAAGACGATAGATAGTATTCATATACCACGTAATTCAATGGACATCACTCTCTTGGCTAATTCTATGTTGATATTTACAAAACCAGCTTTTACCTGCAGCTCAGAATATGCAATCACAAGAAATGGAGGCTGCAAGAAGGTAACGATTCTGAGCATACTTCCCAAATTACCAAGGTTTCTTTTTTTGCCAAACAAAAGGGGGGTAAATATAATTGACTGGCCATCGAACAGCCCTGATTTAAACCCCTCAAAAACTTGTAACAACTTATAAAATAAAGTTGAACAAGAATGCCTCAAAATACTGACAGAGGAATAGAAGCAGTTCCGCAGCAGCATGTTATTAACATGATTCACTTAGTCAAAACACGTGTAAGATTGTTTAGCAAATAGTGAGAGTAGGATTCTATACTAATAAAATAACATTAGTTATAATAAACTTTTTTTTAGCCCAGTACACATGATATATGTTGTGTGTTAGCTCAATTCTTGTGACCACAATTATTTTTCAGACACGTATCTGTACATTCGATTGTTGTAAATAGTTACTTTTTAATAATATGATTCTAATGACATAATATTTGCTGCTTAAATCGTATGATCTAATGACATGTTCGCTGCGGTAATCGTATGATCTAATGACATGATACTGCGCAAGTCGTATGATCTAGTAGAATGTTTAATGACGTATTGTTGTTTTGGATCATATGGTTGTAATATTCTGGTTGTTGGTTCTAATATATATTAGCGCTTTAATTCATAACAACTTTTGGTCATACGATATAACAACTTGTTGAAGGAATTGCGTCATGTATTACAAACCGACTTATTGGCGTACTGAGAATATTACTAAGCTATATAACTCCTTTAGTCGCTAATATTTATTATGGAATTTGCCGTCCGTAGAACAAATGGCAAATGTTTTGTTACAAACAAATGTCTCTATATATTATTACAAAATTTTTTTGCGTCTTTGTCCTCGCAAATATGGACTAATTGCAAACTTGAAACATGGCGTCAAACAATCGTACAGGTTTGACAATAAACGCCTACCAAATTTTTCATTACGTAACAATTATTTGTCTTTGTTAAAATTACTCCATTCATTCAAAAAAAAGCAATAGTTTGTCTTATACAATTGCACCTATTGCGTCAGTTGACACGTACAACAATATTGTACCATGATTGAATGCATTTAGTTGATGAATTGCATAAAGTTTACGTTCGTCATAACTCGCAATAAATATGATAATTTGTGCAGCAAATAAAAGGGTAGCATATATTTCCCTGTTTAAATAGCCACTAAACTTTAACACAAATTTTTTAGCAATAGTAATAGGCATTGACTTGCTAAAATAGCCAGCATGAGCAATGTATGACTTTTTCATTTAACTAATATAATGTTAATTTTATTATTTTTCAGTCGCAAATAGTCTTGCATGATTAGATGACATTCTTTATTATTTATAGTCTGCAACTTATCTCAAACGCTACTATCTTTAGTTTCTAATGCCAGCATGCATGGGAAAGGTTTACAGAAACCAGACCATTGTGTGTTTAGACAAATTTGAAACATAATAAAAATTTTTTGTTCTATAAAGTTCCATATGATATCATCATTTAGTGTGATTTTGGTCATTCGCTTGGTTTTGCCTCAAAATAGTACGACTATAGGCATTACACAAATAGTTCGTGTGACTACGTTTCTTGGAGAACAACTTCTTCAATGGTATGAAACAAAAAAATGTTGGGACAACTTTACTATGTATTAAAGGCGGGGATAATGTAAGGAACTGATATCGAAGTCAACTTATCATGTATGTGTGTGAAAACTTGTTCGAATCTGTATACAAATATTAATGCAACACATTAAAATAGCTGATACGGCTAGTACATATTCGATAGTTAAAACTCTATTGGTAGTAATACAGAATACTGCGGACTCACGCCAGCACAACCAAAATGCATTTCAATAATACACTCATCAATTGTATCAATATGGAAAGCGATAATAGAATAATGAATATATTTACATAATAAGAATTCTATTCGGTGTACTGGCAATGCAATGGTATGTTAGTCTTGTGCCGCCGCCATTATCAAAGTACTTATTACTATTATTGTTTCATTTAATTACAAACGCATTCATCATTTCTAAATCCAGTAATATAAATTTTTTCTATTTAATCATTTAGTACTAAAAAAAAAATGGAAATAATGTCCGTACGGAAACGAATAAAAATGGTTTGCGCAGCATCTGAAGGGGTTCTTCTTTATTCTCTTTCCTACGCCACGTTTCAAATGACTTTGGGGAAAGGTGCATGAGAACATTGTCAAAGCATTAATGCACTTGTGACCCCATTGAAATAAGTACAGAAGTAGGAAGAATCAAGTTGTTACCTAAAATATCATACGCAGTTATTATTTATGCACATGCAGTTATGGACGAAGTGATTGCATACGTATAAGTCATATGATAGCAAAATCTTATAAATAATCAGTTGAAGGTGTTTTTTTGTCTCTTCATCTTCATCTTTAAATTCATATTCTCAGACTTGCAAGACTGGTTCTGTAAGTCATCAGATTTTACTCTCCTTTTCAATCAAAACTTAATATCTTAGAATGGTACCGGTACCCGTTAACGTCAAACCTGCCGAGTTCTGCAAATTCATCAAAAAAATGTTACGTATTCGAACCAAAGTAAAAATTAACAACCAACATAACAGTATTAGTCTTGAAAACCCTCGAGTTTTCACAACAGGAAGCCAAAAAAATGTTGCAGAGAATGTAGGGCCTCAGAACACGAGGACGATGTAAGTAATTCTATCTTAATAAGCAAAAGTCCATGATATTACAAGAAAAGAATTTTCTATTACTTACAACCGCATTATATACCAAAGTGCGTTTCGGGGCAATTTTGCTATCAAAGGTGCTATCGTTTACGAAATCCAAAACGTGACGCAAAAACCTCATTATCTCGTAATTACGTGGGCCGTACGTATTATACATATATATACAAATAGAGGATTTGCCCTCCTAGATAAGACAATTCTCACGTATCTAACGTCAATGTTCCAAATAACAGGTCAAAGGCTGGTTGAGATGTGGGAAAAATTCAGTAACATGTCATGTGCTCAATAATTTGGATGATGAACCGCTCGAACAGTTGTATAAACAACTACACACGCGACAAAACAGACAATATGTTGGAGCAAACGCTGTTCCTATGCATCAATTTGCTTACCGTATTTCTGGAGGAATCAGCAATGGGTACATACAAAAAGTGTCTTGGTATTAGTTTTGCACCTTATCAACTGCTTTCTAACACTGCTTCTGATCTCTTAGGGCCAACGCAGAAATAGCTATCACACTTCAATGATAATATTTATTTAAAGTTTAATTCTTATTTTGTAATGTAAAAGCATTTCTCTTCTTTTGTCTGTATATATTTTTTTGGTGTGTTCTGTTTTACACTTTGGCATGGACTAAATAAACCCCAATGGAAAGTTGGTTTTAATATATTGTTTGTCTCTAGTCCGCCGCAATTAGTCCGCTGTTGTGTCACAAAAATAGGGGTACAAATCAATTAGCAGGCATTGAGGACGCTTTTGGTAATATTAACTTGCGATTAGTATGGTGATAAGAAATGATAGTAGCAACCCCTTGAAACAGGCAGATGTATGACGCACTAAATTGAACAGACCGGTATATTGATCCGTGCAGTGTCAACTCTTTTAGAAACATGCAGATCGTAATATTAGTAGACGTCATCGATAAACGCAGCTTGTTCAAAGTCTTCTTGATTAAAATTACCCCGTCGTAGTAAATTACTAAGTACTAGTAACTGAACCCATATCCCAAGTATTCCGGAAAAGCCCCTGGCTCACCAACATAGGGGGCTTTACCGGAAAATTGGATATTGTAACCCTCTTTGTTAGTAACACTCAAGTCGAATGTTAAAAGAGTGTTATGCAATTAAATACAACCGACAAAGTCCCAAAGACGTTTATGAATCTTTCAGTTTAACATGAATTGTATTTTATTTACGACTGAAGTAGAGTATCCAAAAGTGGAGTGAGGCAATTTATTGAATGCATGCCTTCCTTGGTATATGCCAGCTTGATAACGCGATATCTCTAAGATATTGAAGATAGATGTGCAGCTATGCTTATGTTTTGTAGCCTAATAAGAAAATATTTTAAGACAAGACTGATTTGCATTCTCTAAAAAGTGAGTGTGTCTGGGGCATCGTTTGACCTTGAAAAGTGATCGGCATTGTATGACAATGCACCAGAAAACTTTTTCGTTAGATTGGGGGACACAGACAAACCTAAATTGCATTACGAGATTGTTGTGTGACATGTTAAGTATTAGTATTTTTAGTAAGAGATACTTTCATCAATATAACACTTGGGGCAGTTAACGGAGAGTATCGGCCGATAGAATGTCCTGACGTTGGGGATGCTTCTATATTGTTACCAACAGGCTTTTTCGACCTTCTGTAAAAGAAATCGCCGTCTACTACAGCCCAATCATTCATTGTCTTAACTAAATCATTCATTGCTATAAAAACTTGCTATGAGCAAGCCTTTAGCTATTAAAATAATTGCTACGTACGATATAACGGGATTTGACTTTACACGGTTGTAGAGCTTTGTTTTCTTGGACAATTTAATCCCGTTGTTGACAAAGAAGAAGCAATTGCCCGAAGGCGTATTCGTTACATCTACTGTTGATTGTATTATGAGATAGATAAAAGATAAGGATGATGTTGAAAGAATATCCCATGTTCAGATACCCATATAACTCGGAGTTCATTACATAGTTATACAGATAATTTCAAATAAACTGCTATCCAATCAGTTTTTGTTCAACTAATTTTCTTTCCCTGCCTATTCTCCTTCAAACACTTAACTGTAATTTTTGCTAAAATTTTGTCAATGGCACATTAAATCATTCACCAACTTTTTTAAATTTGCGTTCTCCGTTTCTTAGAGAGGCCGTATCTTTCAATGCTCACAGGAATAGAACCTGCCTTTTCATAAATTGAGTAGGATGTCCCACAATGAGGTCAATACTATAAAAACCCTTTTGGCTTACATTGTATCAAGCCAATTCTTCATCAACTTTTCTGTTATTTATCCACGTATAGATATTGACTGCAAATTACGGGTAATCAGCGTGGGATCACCGATCATATCCAAAAAATAGGCGTCTCTTCTATTTAACGATGCAATACCATACGGATATGTTTACAAAATAAACAAACTTTTCATAAAATTTCTTGTACACCTGCGGATAAAGATTAGATTAAACCATATGGTTTGGAAGCTTTGAAGCTGTTGATAGCATCAGGGTACAACGATAGCAAGCAATCGTTCTGTATAAAGTTTGACCTCATAAGGTGTAACAAGTACGTGTATTCTCCTCGCGTAAATTTAATCTCTAATTTACGATTTGTCTGTTATTTAAACCTACAGTTTGTTTATGGCTCGTGCGTAAATTTACTTTTTAGATAATAACATCAATCTTTGCAATAGTTTTTAACAAAAACCATGATTGACTGCTAATAATGTATTTACCAATTTCATTCACTCGCAAATATGCACATGTAGTTTCTGTTGTCAAATTCATGATGGTAAACACAGCACGTGTTATTATTATATTCCAGAGTTGTTATAAATTTTTTGTACGTTATGACTTATAAGATTGCAGAAAAAGCATAAAACAAATATTTGCTGACGTGATTGAATTATACTACGTACTCTACGTATCGTTCGCTAATCAAAGTTGACGATCTTATCAAGTATCCTTCACAGTGAAAAGGGGAGAGTTGCTTATTCTAAGGGGCACATTTAAGCAAAGCATAATAAATTAATAATAAAGTCCATGTAGAAATAAAATCCTGCATACTCGTGCAATTATTTTTTGAGTATTGACTTGAAACGTGAATCCTACATCTTCATTTGAATAGTAGAATGCGACAGTTACAGTATGTGTATTTGCACATAATGCTCATAATTGAGGAAGATAATTTATCAAACAAAAACGCTTTAATCGTGACGGTTGCCAATGCTAGTCTGATAAAATTGACTGCATTATATCAATACGGTTTATTACAAATTTAAGTAGCTGTGAGTGGGCACGTCTAACATTACCATATCAGGTAAGCGTATCTTTCAAAACAGTAACATACCGGTAGTGTTTTTAGCAGAGTCTGCTTTATTCTGTACACGCAGACTAAAGTTTAATAACCCATGAATCTAATGAGTTAATCGTGCTTGGTGTTAAAAATTACAAAAAAAAAATGGGTAAGAACTAGCACATTTACATCATCTGTCTGATATTTTAATGGGCGTGTTGACAATAATCTCCAAAGATAGTTTTACTAAGTTTATATAAACTTGTTTCTATGTAGAACGAATTGTGCTGGCCAATACAAGCATAAGAATAAAAATCGATAATTTAGGGCAGATTGATAGAATCAATTAACACATAGTTTCAGCCTTTCGATTAGCCAAAGAACTGCAGATAATTGTACAGAGAATTTGTCCACGGAAGAAATCTTCGATGAGTGGTCATACTAAAATAAAGTTTTTTTAGCGGAGGGATTAATCACGTAACACAAAGTTCGCTGATATATCAGATAACAAATGTTACACAGACTAACGATATTTAAAACTAAAAGCCTTATCACTCACTCGTCGTCACTTTTAATGATGAATAACACCGTCGACTTGTCCTCGGTTCTTGCCGCTGACTATGAGAGACTGTATGAAAGTGGCAAATATACAGATATTTCAATCCATGCTGGAAAGGAGCCAAATAGCAAAATCTTTTTCGCTCATACATTGGTACTATGTACAAGAAGCAAATTTCTCGAGAACAGCTTAACTGGAAATACAGAGACATCTGGAGAAGTTCAAAAAGCAGCCATAACGTTTGAAGATGTAACTCCTGACGTTTTCGAAATATTGCTCAGGTAAATCTCATAAAACTGCCACAAAGATGTGTATATATTATTGCGCAGTCCAGTCTGAATACATTACAATTTAATGATTTATAGGTATATCTACACTGGGCAAATGTCCTACGATTCCTGCAAGGATATGGGTTGGTTCAACATTTTGGATGGAGCTAGCAAGTTTGAGTTACTTGATCTTTTTACTGCAACTGAAACTTACTTGATTGATAAACAAAGTGAATGGATTCAACATAATATTCTTACAGTCCACAAGTATGCTGCATCCAAAGCTTCTTTGAACAAACTTCTTGACTATTGCAATCAAATTATGGCTTCTAATCCAGATACTATCTTTAAATCAAA